TTAAATTGTATATGAGTTGTTGTATATAATGGAATTGGTATTGATGGTTATAGAAATTCTTTGTGAATTGTTGTTGTTGTTGTTGTTGTTGTGTGATTTGTGATTGTCCGGTGGGATCGGGTTGCGCGCCGCAACACGAAGTAATAGGTGTGGGTTGTGGTGATAAGGGTAGCCGAGATAATAAGGGTGGCCGAGGTAATAAAGGTGGAAAGTGATCGTAATCACTATTGAAATGAAAATATGAGAAAGTTGTGAAATCATTGATGTGATAATGTTGAAAGGGGAAAAAGGAGAGATTGTGAAACTTGTTTGGCTTGATTGTTCCTTTCATGTGTATTTGATTGTTGATTCTATTCCTGCTCGTTACTTGTGTATTGTTTGAGTTTACTTGGGGCAAAGTTTGTTCATACATACCAGTACAATTCAAATGTACTGACATCCCTTTTGCCGGGGCGCTACATTCGTGTTATGATTGTAGGTGGATCCATAACAGGTACTCCAGTCCACCAACCATAGCACTCCTTCACTTCCCGTCAGCTGAATTGGTGAGCCCCTTTCCTCTCGGGGCCCTGCGTGGCTCATGCCGCTTTTATTCCGGAGTCTTGTTTTGGTATTTGTGTAAGGTATAGCCGGAGCCTTGTTACCGGCAAGTATTGTATCATCCTTTTGTATCCATAGAGGCTCTGTAGACAGGAAATGTGGGTTGTGAACTTATGTAATATGTATTTTGTATGTTGGGCGATGTAAGTTGTAAACTACGCTAAGTAACCATGTTTGTTATGTATATTTCGTAAAAAGGTGTTTTAATTATAAATGGCTATTTCCTTTGATTAATGAGTAATGAAAACATGGAGTAACACGTGGGATAGGAAAGGCACCCAGGTCCGCTTGACTGGGGCTACCCGGTCGAGCGCCGGTCGCGCCCCTCGGTTTTTGGGGCGTGACAATATTTGGACTCAACATGCTTCCCCTGAAATGTATGTTTCACATTTTAGATACATATTTTTGTCCAAAACAGTACTAAATCATCCACTTTTTTCTTACTAACACGCATCTGCAATATTGTTACGTTAGACGTAAGTGTTGACAGCCTAGAACAACTTGTATATTTTTAATTCTTTCAGTTGAGTTACAGTGATTCCTTATTTAATGAAATATCTGGAAAAATATTTACTTCCCCAATTTTAGCGCGCCTAAATAAGGAATCCTACAACTACAATGATTCCTTATTTAATGCATTGTCTATATTTTGTAGAAATACTATTAGCATGAAAGGTAATATGCAAACTATGAACATATTTGGTAATATAGTTTCCTATATTGTATAAGAACGAAAATTTCCCAATTTTATTTTCTATAGCAAGCTATTACACCCTATTTATGATAAATCAATACAATTTTGCAATATTATTACTTATATAGCTACTTTTTTCTATTTTATAGCAAAATATGTAAACCTACCATTGAAACATGAAATACGTCAGTTACGTTCTTTGTCTCTTTCTCTCTCTTCATTCTCTCTCTATCAACAAGATTCTCAATCCTTTCTCTTCTCCCTCAAATCAGCAGAATTGTCGGCGTCATTGTCGTGGTCGTCGTCATCATCCACTATTGGCTCATCCTCTTAGGCGAACGGCCATGGCTACGCCGGAGAAGATTTGAGGGGCGGGTTTTTGTTTGTCTCCATTTTTAGTTTTAATACAATGTATACAATATTTTGCTGGGCCGAAAAATGCCATCTCCGGCGAGCTTTCTTCTTATTTTTGCTATTTAGTCACATACAGTGATACAAATATATTATATTATGTACAAATACACTCAAATATATTGTATTTTTGTATAAATACATTATTTTTTCGCATGTATTTATATATTCCGAAGGTCTGTATTGTTTGAATATAGCCGAATATTACTGTGTTTTGTGATTTTTGTTGTTTGAATATAGTCGAGTGAAGACGATGAATTGAATTCAATGTGTACATGCTGAATACCTCACTGTATTAATAAATACAGTCGCGCGAATACATGAATACATAATTAACAGCTGTAATCCCTATTTTTAGGCGGATTAGCTATGTGTATTTATAAATACAGTCGCGCGAATACATGGAATATAACACAGTAGCAACAAAATTTATGTGGAATTGATTTTGTTGAGTTAAATTAGGAGTGATACACACTAATTGATCCTCTTTCCGTTGTTAAACAGCTGGACTCCCCTATTTTTAGGCGAATTCCGCTACTGTATTCATGAATATAGTAGCGCGAATACAGGGAATACAGTCTCATAGCTGGACTCCCCTCTTTTTAGGCGAATTTTGCTACTGTACTCATGAATATAGTAGCTCGAATACATCGAATACAGTCGTGTAACAACTAAATAGTAGCTATAGGAAGTAGGTATGTATATATATGGTAGCTATAAGAAGTTAATAGCCACTGAACAATAGTAATTTCTGAAAAATCCTCTATTAGTCTGTTTGAAAAAAATGATATGCGAGAACGATTTAACTTTAAACTTTTTATTTACTGAGTTAGGAGAAGATGAGACTATGAACAAATGGTTTTATAATATTGTTCATGAATTTGAACTGCGAGGAACCTTTTATTAATTACTTAGTTCGAAGGGATAAAGCGTATTTTGCTTTCTTTGTTCAACCTTTAACTTTCTTCCTTTTTATGTACTTGAGCTTCTTCTTTTAAAACCAAGTGGAGATCAGAAAAACCTTCCCAACTTAATTCACTCATTCTTTCTGTTATACCAATTAATTACAGTATAGGAATCCTCCTTGTAGCTTCTTCTACAACCATGGGTTCTTTTGCCTTTTGGGAAAAAAAGGTTTGATTATTGGTTTGGTGCCCTCCTTTTCCATCCATTCATACCACACAACTTTGGGAATAGGCAAAGTACGTATTGATCATGTTTCATCGGAAATCAGCTGATCTTTCTCAATTGCTCCCTCAGGTCCATTTTAATTAATCTTTTGGTCTTGTTCATAATATTTAATTTTTTGTTTTGAGATATCACAGTGTTAACTTCTTCTTTTTTTCAAAGTTACTCTTGGATTAAAGAGTCTAGGAGTATTTGTTATATTTTTAATGAATAAATTAATATTAGTATAGTCAATTATATTATTAATTAATGTTAAAAGTTAAATTCCTTAATGTGTGCGAAATTAACAAAAAAAATTAATTAAAATGGACCGAAGGGAGTATTTCTACTTGTAGCCTAAAAAAGATATAATTTTTTAAGGAAAAAGGTTAGATGTGTATACTATCGGAAATTAGTTATAGGTAGCCTCCGTTATGCTATTCTTCACTATCTGCCCATGCCGTTACCAATTTTAATATTTCTACCCGTTAATCTAACGAATCAATTCATAAAGACGCGTGGCAACATCTTAAACAACCTAACCATCTACCCTTTTACATTACCCGTATTCGCCCCTTAAAAGACCTAATCTTATTTTCTTCTCCAAAACTAGAATTTTGTAATACGATGGCGGATCCTCCATGGTTTCCAGCGATCTAACCGGTGCTAGAGTGTCAACGACAAAGCAGAGAGAGGATTTAATGAGCAACAAACGATTAGATTTAACAATTCCTCAAATTCCTTGACTTTGATTAAAGTGCTAGTAGTATATATTGGGGTTTCCCTTTTGATATCTCAGATTGTCGGTTGCATATTAAAATTTTGAATAGTTGATCCGGTTTAGATGAGGATGGTGTTGGTATTAGCATTGGGCGATCTTCACATCCCGCATAGAGCTGCTGATTTTCCTAAAAAATTAAGCCTACGCTTGTTCTTGGCAAGATTCAACATATCATATGTAGTGGAAATTTCTACATTAAAGGAAGTGTTTCTCTTCCTTTTAATTCATCAAAAGTAGTACTCCAGATCACTGATTACTCCTTGTCCCGATAATAAAATCATCCCAGATCCCGGAGACAACGGAACTTTTTGGCGATTCCTCCACCACTACCCATTTCCGGTGACCACCCAGGATCTCAAATCACTACTCTCCGGCAAAAAGCTCATCGAGAAGCTGCATGAAATGGACATCAGCAGAAGCAGGATTAAACTCAACGGGCTCCTGCCGCAAAAAGATTTACTGCCGGAATCGGCCGCCGGAGAGGAAATTGACAGTGGCAGATGCCAGGAAGCTACTGAAATTATCACAATTGTGAGATGGTGAAATTGAAGCTCAGGAGAATTGAAAAGAATTGTATTTTGTGACCAGAACTTGTTCAAATGTGCTGTGAATCTTGTTGGATTAGTACTAATCAATGCCTAGAGTTTGCGAAATGCTTTTAGAACTGTGAGGGTTGAATAAATGAGGGCTTTTCGGGTTTGGGGCTGAACGGATGGGTTAGAGGGAAACTGGTTAGGTGGGTTAGAGAAAAAATAGTTAGGTTGTTTAAGATTCTGCCACGTGTCTTTATGATGGATCGTTAGATTAAGGGGTAGAAATACTAAAATGGGTAACGGTAAGGGTAGATAGTGAAGAATAATATAATGGGGCTACCTCTAACTAGTTTCCGACAGTAGAGGGACACATCTGGCCCTTTTTTCCATTTTTTTACCGATGCCTTACCTTTGTACATGTACTCTTTCGCAAATCCCCTCACCCCGCGCGCGCCTTGTTTCCCTCTATTTAAATTTTAAAATGTGATTATGAAGGGTGAAGGTCCCTATATCACCATCTCAGTACACCCAAGTCAGTTTAATTCTAAATTAATAATGGGATGATCCAAACAGCCCCTAATAGTCGAAAAAGTATATAATTTTTGTATATTTTTGTATATATATATATATATATATTGTATGTTATATACAAAAATTATACAAATTTAATATATTTTTTCGGTTATCGAATGTGAAAAATTTCTGGTACAGATTAAAAGTGATAATAGCCGATCTTCTTTCTCTAATGATAAAATTCATGAACATGGACACGTTACCATTTCCTTTTGTACTTTTCCTCTATACACATTTCTCTTTCCTCAGCGGTAATAGACACATGCACACACATAACAAATACACACAATCCCATTACAGCTATTCCCCCATACTGTTCTAATTATGTCATGCACTGGCGCCACAACCTTCACTAGAAATAACGTCCTCCATTTATGTTCTCTACAAATTTTTTACACAAATTTAGAGCTACCAAAAACCACAACCAAAATATAGCCATCTCACAAAATTCAGACAGTTTCATTTTCAACAAAGGAAGATCAATCACTCTTGACAGTGAATTAAGAAACATGTCTCTCTTTGATCTTCTTAACCTGGATCTCTCCGACAGCCACAAGACAAACAAAAGCAAATTCATTGCTGAATACATATGGTTAGTTTCCTTTTCAGATCTCTGTTTCCTTTTCTTCGGTATTTTTCCTTGGATGTCTGTCTTTTTTTATTGGTATTTCTATCCTATTTTGTATGTAATTCAAGTTTTGTTCCTTGACGGTTGTAAAAATATTCACACAATCAGGTGACTTGTAAGGTAATTACGGGTTTATCTCTTGGATACGCATAAATTGACACTTCACCTTCCTCTCCCATTTCGATGTGGGATTCGCCTACATGTACACCCTGCTTGACCCGCCCTCATCAGCTCCCCTTTCGTCATGGGCATCACATAAGTAATACTTGCTAGGCAAATTTTAGTTTTATTAAAGGAAAATAGCTTTCTTGTTCTGATGTGTGTCATTGATCAGGATTGATGGATCTGGCATGAACCTCAGAAGCAAAGCAAGGGTAATTAATATCTACTTAGCTCTTTTTTTCAATATTATCAAGCCAATACATGTTTTTGTTTGATTTTTTGGTTAAAAGGCGATAATATATTTTTCTTGGACTTCTGATCTTTAAGAGAATTTGGCATCTAATTGTGATTTTTATCTGTGGAAGACAGACCCTGCAATATCCTGTTACTGATCCTTCACAACTGCCAAAATGGAACTATGACGGTTCTAGCACTGACCAAGCTCCTGGTGATGATAGTGAAGTCATCTTATAGTATGTAATCACTTGTCTTTTACCTATTCATTTCCATTTTCGAAGTTTCATCTATCATTTCAAGGAAGGGGAGCCTTGGCGTAATTGTTGTCATGTGACCAGAAGGTCACGGGTTCGAGCCGCGGAAACAGCCTCTTGCAGAAATGTAGGGTAAGGATGCGTACAGTAGATCCTTGTGGTCCTGCCCTTCCCCGGATTCCACGCATAGCGGGAGCTGAATGCACCGGGATGCCCTTTTTTCATCTATTATTTCAAGATTTATGTTAAGTTTGGTTGACCCTTATATGTGTTTTTATGTATGAAGTCCCCAGGCAATTTATAAGGATCCATTCAGGGGAGGAAATCATATTCTAGTAAGTTCTTTCTCTATATCTTTTCCTTTCTCAATTAGTCAATGTCATCTGTCATTATGTTCTGTGTTATGATCATTAACACTTAAAGAAATGGACATCTTTTTTTTGGCTTTTAATTGTTATAGGTCATGTGTGATGCTTATACTCCAGCTGGAGAGCCCATCCCAACAAACACGAGGTTCAATGCCGCAAAGATATTCAGCCACCCTGAAGTTCTGGCGGAGGAACCTTGGTAAGTTTCATGGACATTGCAATGGAAAACTATGATTAGTAAAGTTTTGTATTTCTGTGTGCGCTTTGAGATTAAGTCTTGAGAATTTCTCTATCATTATACGGTAGGTTTGGTATAGAGCAGGAGTACACATTGATGCAGAAAAATCTGAATTGGCCACTTGGTTGGCCGATTGGAGGATATCCTGGACCTCAGGTAGTGACAAGAAGCTATTCTTGAAGTTCTTTGTTTCCTTTACATAGTTAATGTTTCCTGGTTTCATAAACAAATATCTGGATGGCATAATAAACTTTTCTTGTGCCCTCACCGGGTAATAGGGACCATACTATTGTTCGGTTGGTGCAGACAAAGCCTTTGGCCGCGATATTGTCAACTCCCACTACAAAGCTTGTTTATACGCCGGCATCAACATTGGTGGAATTAATGCGGAAGTTATGGCAGGCCAGGTAAAACTGTATAGAAGAAAAAAAGAACACTTTCATGTAAACCCCATGATGTGGTCAAGAGAGGATATTGCAGAGAGCTGGATTAGGGAAAAACCTCATGTCTGGTCCAGCGGGCGGGGAGTCGTGATTCCAGTATCATTATGCTTGCAATGTTATTTGGTTTATGTCTATTTGTGATTGAAACTATTTGTTGCCCCTCAAATTGCACCTAACTTATGTTTTTACTTTGTTTTGATTTAGTGGGAATTCCAAGTTGGACCAGCACTAGGCATTTCTCCTTGTGATGACCTTTGGGTTGCTCGTTACATTCTTGTGGTAGTTCTCTTTTACTTCAAGGAAAAGTTAAAAGGAAGTTTTAACGTCCTACTTTAAGTTTCTTTGTTGTGGTTCTAACAGAGGATTGCAGAAGCAGCTGGTGTGATTGTTTCTTTTGATCCAAAACCTGTTGAGGTTAGGTTTTGTTTATGGAGATTAATCTTTTATTATACCGAGAATTTGTGTTTTCACATCGAGGAGCCTTGGCGTAAATAAAGTTGCTGCCGTGTGACCAAGAGGTCATGGTCTTGAGCCGTGGAAGCAGCCTCTTGCATAAATGTAGGGCAAGGCTGCGTAAAATAAACCCTTTTAGTCCGGCCCTTCCCCGACCCTGCGCATAGCAGGAGCTTAGTGCACCGGTTTTTTTTTTTTTACATCAATATGTCAAATATCTGGCCATTTTATCACCCATCTTTGATTCTTAATTCGTCTCGTGACAGGGCGATTCCAATGGTGCTGGTGCTCATACAAATTACAGGTACATTTTGGTCCCTAATGTATGAAAAGTTGCCCTCACAATAAGTGGTAAAAAGAAGATCGTTTATCAAGGAAAATACATATTCAATGTGGTAGTCAATGATAGTAATAAGAGTTTGGCTTGACGTAATATTTCTGTTGTGATCAGTACCAAGTCCATGAGGGCTGAAGGAGGGCTACAAGTAATAAAGAAAGCCATTGAGAAGCTTGGAAAGAGACACAAGGAACACATTGCTGCTTATGGCGAAGGCAACGAGCGTCGTCTTACTGGAGAGCATGAAACAGCTGACATCAACACCTTCAAATCTGTAAGTAACACTTTTAGCTCTATTTCCCTTTTGGTTTCTCAGGACGATCTTTCTTTTGGATTTATCAATGTAAAGACTTTTGTGTTTACTTTTCCACAGGGAGTAGCAGACCGTGGAGCGTCGATTAGGATTGGAAGGGAAACAGAGAAGGCAGGAAAAGGATACTTAGAGGATAGGAGGCCATCTTCAAACATGGATCCTTATGTTGTGACTTCTATGATTGCAGAAACAACCATCCTTTGGAAACCATGACAGAATTGAAATTTTCCAGTTTTTGGTGGCTAATTACTCAATTGTTCTTTTCAAATGGATTAGTGGTTTGTTTTAGGGACAGGAATTCTGGTTTTTGCCTTTTCTCATATGAATGAAAATAACAAAAATCAGTAGAAAGTGAATCTTGAGATTAGATTAAACTCTCTTTTTTATGTGAAGTCCTTACTTTTTTCTATACATTAGTATTTTTTATCACTTTCTAAAAAGTTCAAAAGAGTGAATGAAAAAAGCAAAATAGACAGATTCTTTTCTTTTCTCGGACAAATAAAATTTGTTTAAGTTTGAAGTATCACTCTCCCATAATATGGTCCTAAATAAAATGGATGCCTGTCCAATCAAAATTATGATGGAGCTAAGAAGCATAAAATGGACTAAACAGAAAGTTAAGAAATGCAAAGACAATAAATGATAGCCCGATGCATAAAGCATCACGCGTTCACCTAGAGTCAGGGAAGGGTGGTACCCCAAAGGGTGTGATGTAGACAGCTTACTCTAATGCAAGTATTAATGGTTGTTTTTACGGTTCGAACCCGTGAGCTATACGTCATACGGGAACAACTTTACCGTTGCTCCGCCTCCCCTTCAAGAAATGCAAAGACAATATCCTTCAAATATTATCATAATTAAACATGCATCAAATTTTCTGAAAAAAGTCATATTTACATAGAGAAAAACAAATTTGAAAGACTTCCCACAAGGAAGAACTAATAAGGAGATTTTATACAACCCTTGTGGTGGTATGACCTGATCAACTAATAAGCCTAAGCCTTAAGAAAAGTAAATTAAAACCACAAATATTTGACTCAATATTTCTAAGATCAGTCTCCAAGAGAGATTAGTCCAAGGCGTGAGTGTTGTCTGGTCATGGCCTCCTTTGCTAATAAAACTGGTGAGAAATCAATGATAATATTATTCTTGTCAAACTCAGCTTCTTCTTTAATCTTCTTCACTTGGCGAGTCTATTACTCAAATGGTCACTCAACTATCCTAAATTATCTCCTAAAATCACTTTACTTTCATTTGTAACAACAAAGTCACTGAACTATGCCTTGCACTCAGAAGGTCACTTAACTAGATTTTTCAAATTTTGGATTGTCAAATACCTATTTTACCCTCTAAATTATAAACATTTATCTTCTTTTTATTTTTTTAAAAACTTTTTAATATTATTATTTTCCCTATTTAATTTATATTATAGACTTACCTATATAATAAATAAATATTATTTATAAATTAAAAAAATAGAAAGTATTTAAACATATATAATGCTGGAATAACAAAATAATGATCATAGTAAAAAAATTAATTAGCATAATTTATTAGTAATAATAATTTTAGTATTAACAACAAAGATTCAGAATTTATTTACACAATTCAGAATGAAAGAAAATAAAGGTTTTAAAATATATATTTCATGCACATAATATAAAAATAATTATTTAAATAAAGGTATTTTATAATGTACATTATATATTCTTGAAAATTATGCTCAATATATTATTATGTTTCTACCAACTTTCCGACAACACAAAGTTATATCATCGGAAAGCAGGGGGACTACCTGTATAGGGTAAAATATGCTATGTTAAGTCGTGCACGGAATATATATAATATAAGTGAGCATAATTTTCAAGAATATATAATGTATATTATAAAAATACTTTTATATTACATGCATGGAATATATATTTTACAACCTTTATTTTCTTTCATTTTGAATTGTGTAAATAAATTTTTGTTGTTAATACTAAAATTATTATTACAAATAAATTATTCTAATTAATTCTTTTACTATGCTCATTATTTTGTTATTCCAGCATTATAGATGCTTAAATACTTTTTATTTTTTTAATTTATCATAATATTTATTTAATCTATAGGTAAGTAATATAAATTAAAAGGGAAAATTATAATATTAAAAAGTTTTAAAAAAAAATAAAAGAAGATAAATATTTATAATTTAGAGGATAAAATAGGTATTTGGCAATCCAAAATTTGAAAAATCTAGTTGAGTGACCTTCTGAGTGGAATAGGCATAGTTCAGTGACTTTGTTGTTACAAACGAAAGAAAAATCACTTTAAAAGATAATTTAAGATAGTTGAGTGATCATTTGAGTAATTGACTCTCACTTGGATATAAACAAGATTCCTTTGATCTGATGATTATTAACCTTATTGGTTTGTTCCAATAATCTGTTTTCTTGCTTTGCCATGTTGATGTTGCTACTCCTCTTCTGAATCTTCTCTACCTTATTAATTGTCTCTTCACATTATATATAAAGGCCTAAAAATGGTTGCTAGTGAAAAAGAGGTAGGTGGAAAATTGGAAAGTTTTGTGGATTGGATAGTGGTAAGACGACTGTTTAAGAGCATGTGCATGAATATTTGACCGAGTTTCAGGTTATTGACCGCACACGTCTGGATAATTAATTCTGCACGGGACCTAATGCATCATCCTTTTCATGCCTTTCATGTTTCACGTCGGAATAAAATATTTTTAGTTTTAACGTTTTGTTAATTGTTTTTTTTTAATTTCCTATCCGGTATTCGGTACTCATATTATGGCCCGACTAAATCTGAATTCTCTATGAGAAGTCTCACATTGGAGGATAAAACGCTCCCTAACAAAGGTGACTCCAAATTTAGGGCTCGAACTCGAGACTAGGGTTGTGCATCTGTCGGATCAGAACAGATTAAGCACATTTCGGATTGGAAATTTGGATTTCGGATCATATAAAATGCAATCCAAATCCAATCCGAAGTAAATTGGATTGGATTGGATTTAAAGTTTGCATCAGATAAATATTTTGGATTTTCGGATCGAATTGTACGCCTTACTAAGATTACTAACAACCTAATCGGCTGCTACACTTTTTAAGGCTATTGTTATTCACCATTCTATTAATTTGAAAGGCAAAATGTCTTATATAGTAATAGACAAAACTAAAGTTTCATAGCAAAATAAAATAAAATTGAAATTCCAAACAAATGTCTAATAAGGGAGAGACGTCGTTGTCCATCAACACGAAGGAGAGACTTAGAATGAGAGACACGGAGGTAAGACTTAAAAGAAGCGGATAGAGCAATTTGAAGAGGGGTGAGATAGAGAGGCTTCGGTATAAATTAAGAAAAGAAGAGTCTAAAGTGAGGCGAATGGAATGAGAAGACTTAATCCTAAAATGCAAGTCTAATATTTATACATGTCCATATAATTCGGATTTCGGATCGGATAGGATTAAAATTATACCAATCCGAACCCGATCCGAATATCCGAACTTTTAAAAAACCTAACCCGTATCCGATTTGAATATTTGAAATCTGAAATCCGAAATTTCGAATAGAGTGGATGATCAGTTCAGATTCTCGGATATCCGATCCAAATGCACAGCCCTACCCGAAACTTCTGATTAAGGATCACTATTAGAAATTCGACAAAAACCAACCAACTTTGGTCGGTCAAAAAATCGGCCAAAAACCGACCAAAGTTGGTTGATTTCTCAAAATATTTTAATTTTTAATTTTTTTTTTACGAAACCGACCAAATTTGGCCGGTTTTCTTTGGCGCAAAAATGCGAGGAACTATTTTTGAGTCCCGCGAAATTTATTTTTCAAGAAACCGACCAACTTTGGTCAGTAAATTCGGCCGGTCATTTTAAAAAACTGACCAAAGTTTTATTTTTTAATAAAACCGACCAACTTTGGTCGTTTATTTTCGTGCGAAAATACGATTAAAGAGTATAAATAAAAAATAAGACAATTATAAACAACATGCACCAATGGTTTAGTGGTAGAATAGTATCCCGGCACAGCACACACCCCGGTTCGATTCCCAGATGATGAATCTTTTGATTACATAATTAAAATACCGACCAACTTTGGTCGGTTTTTTTTTTTTTTTTTTGCGACCAATACCTTTTGTCCTTTTACCTTTGCGACCAACCTTGGTCGGCAATTAGCGACCAACCTTGGTCGGTATACTAAAACGACCACCAAAATAGCGACCAAGCATGTTTGGACGCGTTTAGGTCGGTAATTTGTCAAAATCGACCAACGTTGGTCGATTTTTGTGGTCGCTAATTACCGAATTTCTAGAAGTGGATGAAGGAGTACGTACCTGTCCATCACAACCCTTGTTGGTGTTTTGTTAATTGTTTGTACTTTAAAATATGGATATCAAGCTGGAATTTTCTTTTCTTTAAAAAAATATGCTGATGTGGCAATGATGTGTCATTTTTCAGTGACAAAAATTTGACTTTCTACGGAGTTGTACTATTTCTAAGAAACTAACACATAATTCAGTGATTTTGACAAATAAAAAATTAATTCTGATACAACGGGTAAAATTCGTGACTTTAACTAGACGAAAAAAGATTAGTTCTATGTTTTTGTTGATGCAAGAGGCAAGGTTCAGTGATACAAAAAAACAATTTTCGGACTTTACTAATAAGTAAAAGTCAATGATCACGTATGCAATTAACGTTTCAAAGAACAGTTCAAACACTTTTCACAAGTAATTTAGTTTTTTGCTTTCTTTAATATTTATTATTGTAAAATTAAAAAATACTTTTCACAAAATTAGGTGCTCAATTAGTTTTCTTCTTTAAAACTTCAGACTTCTTTGAATTTGTTTTCCTTGTGAAGAACTGACATTATCATAGACATTTACAAAATTCGAATAAAAATGCAAAAAAAGATATAATTACAGAAATAGACTTTTGCTAAGTGCAAAATTAATAAATGATACGATAATTAGATAGCCATTCATTATATTCTCTTCTATTCGACAAAAGACCGTCTTATCTTTTGGTGTTTTCGTTTGTTATCCCCGGTTTGTACCAAACAAATGATTGAATTGTGTTTTGTAAAGTTTACTAATTAGCTATAATTAAGTGATATTGTATTCTCAGTTTACTTTGTGACATTTACAATTAAATTATGTCGTTTAGCGCAAACACTAAATGTATGTAGGTAAAAAGTCTGTTACAGTTGTTTGAGTGGTTATGTAGGGCAGCATGTTAACCATACGTTAGTTAATTTCAATTTTCACGTACTAAGTCAATTTAGTTTTTTTCCCAATAACAGTATTTGTAAATTGTAATCATAAATTTGACCATTATTACGGTAGTAGCCTATGAGCCCTGATCACGCCTAACTATGC